CGTCCCCTGAGCAAAACAAGTCTTCCTCAGGGGCCTGGGCCTGCCGCGGGGACCCAGAGGCCCGTCCCTCACGGAACTGTGGCGACTGTCCGCACACCAAACCCTGCGGCCTGCACCCGGGGCCCCACGCAGCTGGCTCCTTCCCCGCAGGCCCCTGGGCCCCGCCCCACACCCCACGCTGGACACAGGGGCCCACCTGCCTGGCCACAGCCTCCCTGGCCCTGAGGAGTCTCAGGCCCGCCCACTGCAGCGGAAGGCCAACTGTCCTCCTCAGCCTGAGAGGGGTCAGCGTCCAGCGTCTCCGAGGCCCAGTTCCCACACGGCCAGGAGCGCAGGGTACAGCCCCACGGGGGAGAGCGGGCAGTGGGGCTGGCTCAGGCACACCCAGGGCAGCAGCGGGGCGTCCCGCTTGTCCCCAGGAGGAAGACGCATGTGCCCACACTGGCTGTCCCCAGCAGGGCCTGGCCCTCCAGGCTGCTGACCAACCCTCAGAACCAGGCCAGGCCAGGCTCACAGACAGACAGGCAGACAGAGCAGGACAGGGCACCTGCAGGGGCCCACGCACTGACCCGGGGCCTCGGGGGGGGCCCTGAGAGGGAGCCCCACGCACTGACCGGGGGCCTGCGAGGGGGCCCGTGCCCCACCTAGGGAGCCGCACAGCCCAGCCCCGGAGGCCACCCTGAGCCAGCCCCGCTGCCCCAGGAGAAGGACGCCCCTCAGGAGGGGGACGCTGGGCACACCCCTGAGGTCCCAGCGGCCGGGAGGCCGAGGCAGGAGGACCACAGTCTGTCCCAAAAAGCAACAAGGGGGCTGGGGACGAGGCTCCGGCGGTGGCGCTCGCCTGGCCTGCGCGGGGCGCTGGGCTCCACCCTCAGCACCACGTAAAAATAATGATAAGCTCGTGGCGTCCACCCAAACTGCAAAGCCCAAAATACTAAAAAAAACCAACCAGGGCTGGGGACGTGCCCAGTGGAGGACCCGAGTCACCCACAGCAGCCAGGGGCCCAGAGCCTCAGGTCCAAGAGCCCCGGCGGGCACCTGACCAGAGACACAGCCCCCTGGCCCCAGGGACAGCGGGCCGCAAG